GAAATTGTGATAATATTTTATTGTCAAACAATTTTTTCTAGGTATCATAAACAACACGGGAGAGTTTAACCATTTTTTGAACATATTTTCTCACATAAATGAGTTAGCGGGTCGATGAATCGATTTAATAAATGATTTTTTTTCATATGCACAATTATATCGAGTCAAAAATAATAAGAAAGATAAGATTAATAACATTAATATAAAAAAAAAATTAAGAGACTAAAGATGTCTTATTCTATTTTCTAGGTAAGATGTTTAAATCGGGACCTTCATGACTAAATTAAAAAAAGCGTACAAATAAAATAATGAGAAGTTTTTAAATACTAAACAAACATTAAAATTAAATACTAATTTATTTGTTATTATTTTTTTAAGGAAAAAACAGCGTTTGTATTTACGGCTTCCGTAATCAACGAATATGACTACTTTCCTTGGTATAATTTGGTCAAGTGGGAGTGGTGGGTCCCACCTCCCATTCCAACAAAATTTTATTCAACCGTTCAAATTAGCTGGCCACAACACTTGGAGTGTAATCCCAAAATTAAGACCCAAATTATTTAATTATATTTTTTTATTTATCTTTTACAAAAGTTTTGATTAAAGGACGATTTAATTTTTCTGTGGAAAGCGTGAATCGTCCCTCAATTGAGCAAACAAAATAATATCTCCTTTGATTTTAGATCCAATAAATTCTAAACTCTCAATAATGTCAAATTAATATCACCACCTTCCAACACTAACTTATTAATTATTATTATTATTATTTATAAGCCTTACTTTTCTCTCAATTATATATCAATTAAAAGTTTAACAAATAAATAATAATAATAATAACAATATAACAAAAAAAATAAATGACATGAAATTAATTTTGATCGTAGGTTTAAAAATGAAAAATATAATATTAAATGTTTAAAGAATTTTACAATAGAATATAGATGAGATATAGGCGGTGTCAAATTTTTATGAATTAAAGAGTGCCCAAAAGAAAGGTCAGATTAGTTAATGAAAATGTAATTAAGTTGATGGAGGGCACATAATTTTGGTGGTTGCATGGGCTAATCACTCCTTTTCATTGCTTTGAATGAGTGAAATGACTATAATACCCTCTTCATTCCACGTGTTCGTCGGCTATTGGTTATCTTTAAGCGGAAGTCCACGATAAGGTACAGGGGAGGACAGAGTTGAGCAATAAACGTGTGACGTAAATCCATTTGAAAATCCACAATTGTACTGTGGAGTGGTGCTTATCGTCTTGATATAAAAAGGGCTTAAGCGTCCTTCCACTTCCGCCATATCAACAAATAAAAGAATCTCAATTTCTCAGTAGAGAGCTCTCGAAGCTCTCAATCCTCATCCATGGCGCCTCTTTCTTCAATGCTTCTCTTTGCTTTTTGTTTCTTTTTCTTTCACTCTTCCGCCGGGAAAGTCTCGCCGGACGCCCACCGCCTCACCGTCGAACTCGCCGACCTTCTGCCGTCCGCTGCCTGCAACCGCCGCTCCGTTCAAGGTCTCTCTCTGTTTCTCTAATCTCCTTTCGCTAGAATTTTCCGGCGTTACTAATTAAATTAAGATATATATTTTTTCTTAATTGGATTAGAAAATTTTATTTCGGTGAAATTAAATTTTATATAAGCACGAACCAACATTAATTTCGCTGTCAACTATATCATTACGTGTCCTAAACATAGGGAGGGCTGTTTCTTTCAACCTTAAATGTCTTGTTTTATTGTTGGCCGATTTTTCTTATTCACCTTTTTAATTATAGATACGGGGAAAATTAAAAGATTCCAAATTTTAATAATTTCACAAAAAAAAAAAAAAAAAGACCAATTGGGTCTGTCTGTCTGCCTCTCAGCCTTTTCTCTGTTGAAATTGAAGAAAATTGTATGGGTGGGGTTGTTGGTTTGTGGCTTAAAAGTAAAAGGGGAAATTATTTATTTATTTTAATAAAAAAATTCAAGAAAAGGGTCCAAATTTGTGATAAAGAAGTGACCGATCGAATTATTAACATGTTAATAAAAATACGACAACAAAATAAATGATTAATTATAGAATTTAGTTTCTATTTTCATAAGGGAATTGCTTTATTATTTTTTTTTTTTTTATGTTTTTAAATTTCTACTTACCTGCCAATAATTGTAATGTAATTCGAAAAAAGAATGTATATTTTTTTAATTAAGGAGAAAATCTTTCTTTAAATCTTGCTAAATATTTTTAATGTTCTTAAATCACGGAAATAAATAATTAAAAATTGAAATGAATACTGCTACTAGATGAGCTTGCGTTAGACGTCATCGTTTTGAAACGAAGTCAATGAATGATGGGGATAGAATCATTATTTAATAAAATAAAAATTATTTAATTTATAATTAATTAGAATTGGGAAATTAATTCTTACGTAGAGAGTCAAAAGTAGGAAAAGACAAATAAGTACACCGTCAGTGAGTACAAATATTCCGCAACCCCATACGGCTGTGATGTAAAATGTAATTAAAGCGCCAGCTGAAGCCGCCGCTATAATTGCGAAACTATCAACTACTCCATGTGGGCCTTCAAGAGGCCCATTAATGAACAGCCCATTGGAAGCCCAAAACCGTAAAACCATATTTTACATTTTTCTTCATTATTTATTTTTTAAAACAAGAAGATGTTATTTACGGGCGTTTTTGTGGGCCTGTGGCAGCCCAAATTTCAGGTGGGAGAACGCAGTCATCACTGGAGGTGATTCACCGGCACGGGCCATGCGGCGACGGAAATTCGAAAGCACCGACGGCCGCCGAATTATTCGTTCAAGATCAGGCTCGAGTGGATTTCATCCACTCGAAATTCTCAGGGGACTTCAAATCCATTGATCGTTTACGGCCGTCGAAGGCCACGAAAATCCCGGCGAAGTCCGGCGCCACCATCGGGTCCGGGAATTACATAGTGAACGTGGCTCTGGGGACGCCGAAGAAGTACTTGTCGCTTATATTTGACACTGGCAGCGATCTGACGTGGACTCAGTGCGCGCCGTGCGCCAGATATTGCTACAGCCAGAAGGACCCTGTTTTCGCCCCTTCCCAATCCACCACTTATTCCAACATCACTTGTTCTTCGCCTATCTGCTCTCAGCTTGAATCGGGCACCGGTAATTTCAATTTAATTACACATTTATATTAAATTTCAGAAACAGAATTTAATGTTGAATTTCGTGTTGTGTAAATATGCAGGGAACCAACCTGGTTGCTCCGCTGCGAAATCCTGCATTTACGGAATACAATACGGCGATCAATCTTTCTCCGTCGGATATTTCGCCAAAGAAACCTTAACCTTGACGCCCACCGATGTTATCAGCAATTTCCTCTTCGGTTGCGGCCAAAACAACCGTGGACTCTTTGGCAGCGCCGCCGGTCTCATCGGCCTTGGCCAGGACAAAATCTCCATCGTCAAACAGACGGCCCAAAAGTACGGTCAGATCTTCTCCTACTGCCTCCCTAAAACCTCAAGCTCCACCGGCTACCTAGCCTTCGGCGGCAGTGGCGGTGGCGGCGGTGCTCTGAAATACACGCCGATCACAAAAGCACACGGCGTCGCGAATTTCTATGGCGTCGACATCGTCGGTATGAAGGTCGGAGGAATTCAGATCCCGATCTCGGCGTCGGTCTTCTCGACTTCCGGCGCGATCATCGATTCCGGCACGGTGATTACGCGGCTGCCGCCAGATGCGTACAGCGCCTTGAAATCGGCGTTTCAGAAAGGAATGACGAAGTATCCAAAGGCGCCGGAGCTTTCGATTCTGGACACGTGTTACGATCTGAGCAAATACACCTCTGTAGAGATCCCGAAAGTGGATTTTCTTTTCAAAGGAGGAACGGTACTCGAACTGGACGGCACCGGAATCTTGTACGGAGCATCGACGACTCAGGTCTGTTTAGCATTCGCCGGAAATCTGGATCCGAGCTCCGTCGCCATTATTGGGAACGTGCAGCAGAAAACTATGCAGGTAGTTTACGATGTCGGTGGAGGGAAGATTGGGTTTGGTTATAATGGTTGTTAGACAGTTTGCTGTGGGGATAATGATTGGGAAAAAGAAAGAAAAATTGTTCAAAATAAGGGTTTGAAAAGCAATGAAAATTGGATCACTCATGAATTGTGTGAAAACAAATTTAAAAGAAAAAAAAAAAAAAAAAGGGGCTTAAAAGAAGTTTGCAAATGTTTAGGGTTTAAAGGCCTTTTGTTTGTTGTTTCATATATTGTTGTAATTGCAATTTGTAACCTTTCCCATTTGTAGTATTTCCTTTTTTTTTTCTTTTTATTGTAATAAAAAAATGATAAAAACGGTCAACTGAAATTGATATTTAGCTCGACCGGTTTTAAAATCGTGCGATTGACTTGAGTTATTACAAATGGTATCAGCACCAAACATTGGTCAATGAGTCAGTAAGAACGTTAGCCTTCCAAAAAAGTTATATTGTGAGATCTCATGTCGGTTGTAAAAAGGAAACGGAACAATCTTTGTAAAGGCATAAAAACCTCTCTCCAATAAACACGTTTTAAAATTGTGAAGCCAACGGCAATATATAAGAGGCGATGGGTTTGGACTATATATTCTGAATTAAAAGAAGAAGAAGAAAAAACACATTCAAGCTTTTAGTGATAAAGTGAGGCCCAAATCCAATGCTACAAGATAGGCAGCCTAAAGAAAACAGGGGATTAATGTAGTTATCTCAATTAATTAATATGCAAGTTAACTATCAATATCTTATTTTCTTTTTATAATAAATAATCATTAATCTCTATGTTGACTAAATAACGTTATCTACTTAGTTATATTTACAACAATGTTTTTGAAAAATATAAACCTAAAAAATTATTTAAGCTTTTTATTGGACTTTTGCTATTTTAGAGGTAGAATATTTTTCTCACTCCATTAATAAAAAAATAATCATAAATTTTATATTTTATTCCAAATTTATAAATTTTAAAAAATTTAAATAATACTTTAAACTTAAAAGGCAAAGGATATTTAAAAAAGAAAAAAAGAAAAAAAAAAAAAAGAAAGAAAGGAAGGCAGAATCCCGTATTTTGCTTGAAGCCAATGCTTCCTTTCTTTCCCTTTTGCTTTTCCCCCTCATAACAAACTCCATTGCAGCGATTTCTATTGAAACAGAATGATTACCATTCCTCAGAACCATCAGAGAAAATCCCCCGACGCCGAAGATTGGATCTCCGAGTCCATCAACGGTGGATCCTTACGCCACGTCGACCTGCAGACTGGAACCAACGGCTGGGCTTCGCCTCCCGGCGATCTTTTCTCCATCCGCTCCAAAAACTACTTCACGAAACGGCAAAAATCGCCTGCCGGCGATTATTTGCTTTTTCCTGCCGGCATGGACTGGCTGAAATCAACTTCCAAACTGGAAAACGTTTTGGCGCGTGAAGACAATCGCTTGTCTTTATCTCTCCTTCGAGCACAAGCGGAAGGAAAATCGCTGAAGAGCTTCATTTTCGCCGTGAATCTTCAAATCCCCAGCAATATTGACCAATACAGCGCCGTGTTCTATTTCGCCACCGAAGATCCGATCCCGACTGGTTCGCTTCTCCACCGGTTCATCCACGAGGACGATGCCTTCAGAAACGAGCGGTTCAAGATCGTGAACCGGATCGTAAATGGACCGTGGATTGTGAAGAAAACCGTCGGAAATTACAGCGCCTGTTTGCTCGGAAAGGCGTTAGCGTGCAGTTATCACAAAGGTACGAATTACTTTGAGATCGATGTCGATATCGGGAGCTCGGCGTTGGCATGCGCGATTCTGCGATTGACATTGCTTTACGTGAATTCCGTAACGATCGACATGGGATTTCTGGTCGAGGCAGTTACGGAGGATGAGTTGCCGGAGAGATTAATCGGCGCCGTTAGGGTTTCTCAGATCGAGATGGAAGCGGCGGCGGTGGTAGAATCGGTTACTGGACCGCCGCGTCCGTTAGAGAACGGTAAGGTGGATCAACTGCTGAAGTCGAGCAACGACGATTCTGAAGAAAAAATTTGTGATACAATAAATGAAATTCTTCGGATTGAAGATTCTGCAAACGTAATAAAAGCATGAATTCTGCAACAAAACAAAACATCGGATTCTCGAAGTTTCGAAGTTTTTCCTTTTTCTTTTTTTTTTTTAAAATTAACAAAAATTTAATATTGAGTTTTTTAGTGGCAAATTCATTGCTCGCTATTAGATTTCGATGGAAATGGTTTTTGTTAGCATTACATACATATTGAGAGAGAGAGATTAAGTGGAGTCTCAATCTAAGCTACAAATTCCCGTTTAAAGTTAATTATTGTAACAGAACTTTAGCCATTGTTTTATCTTCTTCTTCTATTTTTTTTTTCTGGTTTCAATTTAACATCCCTTTCATAATTCTCATATTTTGAAGTATTTCTTCTTATTCCTTTCAACCATATTTTCAAGATATCTTCGACAATTGATCCATCTCTTCGTTGTGCTCTTCCAAGTTTCTCCGTCCTATCTCTTAAAAGTTATTGGTGCTAGCTTAGTTAATTCGATCATGATCTGCTCGCGATTAGATACAATTTAAAATTTTATGTCTAATAGAAATTTAAACTTTCAATTATGTGTCTATTGAGTCGGTATGTTTTTAAAATAAAAACCAAAGTTGGATAATTTCCAATTATGTGTCTACTGAGTCAGTAAGTTCTTAAAATAAAAATTAAGGTTGGATTAAATTTGTAATTTTAAAAACCAAAGTTAAGATTAAATTTGTAATTTTAAAAGTCCGAAGTTTAGATTGGTAACTAATTAAATATACATTCAATATACTAAAAAACCAAATAAAATAATCGGTTCACTAGGTTTAAAATTTTCTAAATTTTTAACAAGGGTAGAAACTCTCGTGGTTTTGTTGGTTTCCTAAAAAAAATCCTCATATCAATGAAATGTATTCCTCACTTATAAATCCACGATCAATCCCTTAATTAGCTCACGTGGGACTCCTCTGCTAGCATTCATACCCACACAGCCCCTAATATTTAAAATCGAACTGGCCAGCATAACAATAAGGTACAAACTTCTTCCTGAGATATGACTCGACGACTAGCTAAGCCAATCTTACGAGTCAGATGATTGTGGAAATTAAGAAATGATCATAAGACATTTAAAATAAAGAAATGCAAAAGAAGCCACCGTTGATACACTACTGAAAGGAAACTAGTATGGATTATGAGAGGCATAACAAGTAGATTAGTGTTCATTTTCTTACCACCCCCAAAAGATAGAGCTCTTAATCGTTGTTTCCAAGCGAGCTTCAATTGAATTATTTGCAGTACTTTACTTCTTCTGTGTGTCTCTAAATCCTATATGAATACTGCTACTGACATACTATAAAGTCTACAGCAGACACTATAGTTCAACATACTGATATAAATATATCGAACAAAAAAGTGATAGAGAAATAGGAACCGGTATTCGTTTATTTACAAAGAAACATATTCTAACTGTGTTAGGATTATCATAGTTCGGATTATTGAGGGGAGTAGTCACACATTGGCTATCTCCATTGGTATGAAGCCTTTTGGGAAAACTAAAAGTAAAACCACGAGAACTTATGTTCAAAGTGGACAATATCATACCATTGTGGACGTCGTGGTTCCTAACATGGTATCAGAAGTCATGCACTTAACTTAGTCATGCCAATAGAATCCTCAGGTGTTGAACACAGAAATTGTAAGCCTCGAAAGTGTAGTCAAAAGTGACTCAAGTGTCGAACAAATAGTGTATTTTGTTCGAGGGCTCTGGAGAAGGAGTCGAGCCTTAATTAAGGAGAGGCTGTTCGAGAGCTCCAAAGAATGAGGCCTCAAGAGGAGTCTCTATGGTGTACTTTGTTCGAGGAGAGGATTGTTGAAAATTATTGAAAAAAGTAGTCCCTACATTGGCTAATTAAGGGGAAGATCATGAGTTTATAAGTATGGAATACTATATCTATTGATACGAGGCATTTTGGAAAAATAAAAAACAAGACAATAAGAACTTATGCTTAAAGTGGAAATTATCATACTATAGTAGAGGTTGGGAGTTCCAAACAAACATCACATATCATAAAACTTTTGATAAATGAGATCTAAAAGCTTTGTGCCAACCTTGTGCATCTTGGGTTTGAATAAGAATGTACATGTGCAAGTGAGAACGTAAAAAGTGCGTCAATATGCTTTGTTCATTACAATCCAGCTTCGATTTTATAACACCCTCGACATTGAATAGTTAAGTATAACCATTCATTGAATACAGCAATCTATATTGACGGTTATGAGTTTCTAATATTGCTCCTACTGATGTACACTATTCACTATTAGTTTACTGTATAGCATTGGCTATTGGAAATTAACGTTTAGTGCATCTCTACGAAGCATGGCGGAAAGTTACAGAAACAGCTATAACTAGACCGATCGATTAGATCAAAGAAACAGAGGAGGCAACCTATTTCGACCGACATTGAAGAAAAGATCTGCTGTGTATCATTCTCAACTGTTAGGTACAGTAACCAGTAATAGAAATGGCACCAAACACGTTTTTCTGTTAGCATTGCAGCTATGAGCTTCGTAAACAATCAAGAAATTAGGGTTCTACTAACCTTCTTGTCTTCCGCTAAGTAAATCAAACTGTTCTTTAATGTGCTTTCCGCCTTTGAGGCCTGTTTTCTGTCGCTAATCTGTAAATCCAGTAGACCTGAGACAAAACTTCGAGATCAAATGATGAATTTCACACTTGAAGCGGCTGTGTGATAGAATGAAAACGCGAAGGCTGGAGTTGAAATTGAAGTACCAGAGCGAGAACATGTGCGGCAATTAGAATAGCAACGATAAAAGGCACGACATCGAGAATCCACGGCCTTGAATCAACCTGTTGCTGGTTCGCCATTTCAGATAGAAATCAATCGCGACTACGATACCCCTGGCTTGCAAACACTTTGATTTGTTAGGTCGAACTAGAAAGTAAAGCTAGTGAGAAATGAAGCTTGAGCAATGATGAACTGACCAGGTGAAGAAGAAGCAAGGTAATGGATCGTCGTTAATGGAGTCCGATCCGACCGCTCAAGCGCCACATGTCTTACACGAGACTCCACCGCCGAAGAAGCTCCATAGAAATCATGGATTAGGACGCTCTCGCATGGCCCAATCAAAACGAGAATTCGGCCCGATTTCACAGTCCCCATGACCCATTTACCGCCAACATTAATTTATTCTAAGTGCAATTAACTAAATTTAAATATCCATTTTGACAAATATATAATTAATAACGAAAATATTCAACTTAGAGATTTAGGAAGAAATTAAAGCTATGGTGACGTGCTATGGTGACGTGTACTTGAGGTGCCAGCATGCTAATGCTGTTCCTATTGTTTCATACTTGCTTCCAAGTAATCACTTGCAATTCAATTAAGCAATCTAATCACAATTAATTAAAGGTCAAATGGTTAATTAATTTGATTACTAATTTCACCTAGTTATCTCTTTGACTTAATTATCTTATAATTAATCAGATTTTAATGACCTTAAATTTAGTTTCTCAATTCTGGCTAATTTTTAATTTTCGATTTTCATAATTTATTTTATGTTCAATAAAAATGTCTTAATTTGTATTTTTATGTTTAATAAATTATTGACATATTTAAAATTTTATGTTAAATATAGATCGATAAATTAAAAGTTCCTAACCTATTTAATATTTTTTAATTTAAAATTTTATTAGAGACAAGTTTAAAAATTCAAAGGATATTAAACATTTTTAAATTTTTAAGAAGTAAATATACACACCTTTTAAATTTAATTAATTATTTTATAAAATAAAAAACATGGTAAATTTTATTATTTTTTAAATATGCATATTTTAAAGATTTCTTATATAGATTTATTGGATAATTTTAAATTTATATATATTTAATCTATAACATTTCATTATATCTAATAAGGCATTAATTTTTTATTTTCTGTTTTTTGTTTATAAAAAAGTGAACACATAAAACTTAATTAATCTATTAGATAACTTTTTAAAGAAAATTTACGCAATTTTAAAATTATTTTTTTTAACCAGATAATTACAAATCTCAAACAAATAAAAAAAACTCGTGTGTATATATACATATATGGCCGCACGGATGTAAAAGAAAGGAAAATATACCATGTAGCTAAGGCTCACAAAAAGAGTGGTGTACCTTTTTTGTACGTGCGCCACGTATGTGTTATGGGCCCGAGAAAGAACGGGCATGCCTATTCCAACTGCTCTTCAAAATTTCTCACGGTCGCATTGACTCAGTCCTACCGTAAGCTCACCTCTTCCTGCGGCGACGCCTAATTCTTCGAGACTATTAACCCCGGCTTTACCCCTTTTCCGGTACGCCAAATAACTTTTTTTTTTTCTTCCGCTAAATTAATAAAAATTCTTTAAATTATATAAATTATTTAAAATTATTTTTTAATTTTTCAGAATTCCACCGATGTTTTAAAAAAACATTTGTTTGGAATAAAAATAGGTTGTATTTAAAAAATACACTTAAAAGTAATAAAAAAAAAACCTAAACCCTATATTTAAAAATACTCTTAACCTTTGTAAAAAACTGAAAAAAGTGTTAAATAAATAGATAAAAACCTTTCATAGACCCATCGTAGATTACCTCCATTTTAATATTATTTTAAAAATTTATTAGTATTTTTGAGATGTGATATTATTAATGGTAAGAGATTAAAGTATTTTGGAAGTTATTAAAAAATTTTAAGAAAGTTAATAAAACTTTTAAAAAATAATTTTAAAGTATTTTATTTTTTAAATAAAGTATTTAACTTTTAAACATTTTTTAAATTTTATTAAGAATTTAAAGACATGGTTAAAAATATTTAAAAGTTTTATGAATATTTAAAATAAAATAAAAAGTCTTTATTTTATTTCATTATTACTATTTTTTCTCTCGTTTTTAGTAAAATAATACCAAAATTTAAAATATCTCCTCTTATTTATCCCCAATCTTCAAGTTTCTTTTCCGAAAAACTATATAACAATTTTTTTAAATTTAGATTTTCCTCTTAGCTGATCCAACAAACCAACATCCCAAAAAGTGCAACAAAATCCTCCCCTGTTTCGTTGTCTCCCTTAAACGCTTCTTCTTCTTCTTCTTCTTCCACCAGGTATTCTTTCTCTAGAAACTTCTCTCTCTAAGACTTTCTAACTTGGTCTTCGTGTTTGTTGGTTTATGTTGTTGAATGATTTGCTATATGGTTGTAATTATTGGTCCAATTATCATCATCGCTGTCTGATGTTTTGGCCGAAACTTTTGGGTTTCACATGGCGTCCGTGTTCTCGAAAGATATAAGATCCGTGTTATTGCATAATTTTTCAGGATTATTTCTGTTTATTGTGAAATCTGAAACTGGAGGGTTGTGGTTGTGGTTGTGGATATAATTTCAGGTTCCGGTTTGATTTCGGCGGTTCCGCGGGCATTCGAGGAACGCCTTGTTCCTTCCACTTCTGTAACCATAGCTTCTAGAACTTGTTTGTTAGTTTTATTTTTTCTTTGTTCCATTTTGATCGAAGGGATTGGAGCTGGCTATGTTCAGAGCCTAGACAACATGGGCTATCTGGATTCAGTCTTGTCTTGCTCGAGCCAGATTCATGCTGCTGAGGAGGCACCTGTTAGCGGCGGGGGACTTAGGTATTCGTAGTTTTTTGTTCGTAAATCTATCTGGTGGATCCAAAGCCGTTTCGATTGATTAATATATTCTTCTGTGAATTTACGGTTTCTTTTTAATTTCGATGTCAAAAGAACAGAATCATATTAAAGTTTGGTCGTGATTTCTGAGTAATATTATTCCTTAATTGTGTAAGCGATTGTTAGAGGTATCCTCAATCGATTGGTTTTGTAATATTTCGTTGTTTATCCTTGTAAATTGCCTTTAATTTTAGATTCCTTGACGATCGCCTTCTCTGAAACTCATGCATAGTCCATTCATCAATTCAATTTTGCGATTGACTGGCAATGATGACGTTGACTTGCAGTACCTCTGGCTCCATTTGAAGGATTAAATCTCAATTTCAGGGCTGTGGAGGTTGAAGTTTTCTTATGGTTTTATTGTTAGTAGGGAAGTTGATTGTGCTGATATTCGATTTTGATTGTCGACGTTCTTGGATCGTGCTTTAGCTTCTCTACTTATTGAAGAGTTTTATCGTTTCCTCTTTCTGATTAATTTTCATTCGTGACCGAAGATACTCAATACTGAAAATATATTTTTACTCAATATCAGTCAGAATGGAAAGTTCAGCTATGGATATGCTAGCTCTCCAGGAAAGAGATCTTCGATGGAAGATTTTTACGAGACACGAATCGACGGTGTGGAAGGAGAAATAGTTGGTCTATTTGGTGTTTTCGACGGTATGTGGAGTTTCCTCTTCGACATCAATGTTTATATCTAATTTGCATTGCAGCTACAATGGTTACTGCCAAAGAATTGTGTTTCTGGTGATACGCAGCTATATTTTGATAACTTTTGGTAGTACAGTATTCGGTGGCCGATATATGGACGAGAATATTTATAAATTTTGCTTTTGTTTCTTCCTCATCTTACAACAAGGTGATCCTGAGTTTTAGGATTTTATTCATTAGATTTTTCATTGTATTTTGGATTCACATGACTTTTTCAACGCTTTCCGGGTTCTGTAAATTCTTTTGACTTGTGTTTCTGGTCCACAAGTGTTATTCATTGGTATTAATGATGGCTCAAGAACGATGCACAAGAGTTTTTGTGATATTTCACATCGGTTGGGGAGGAGAACGAAGCACCTTTTATAAGAGTGTAGAAACCTCTTCTCAGTAGACGTGTTTTAAAAACCTTGAGGGAAAGCTTGAAAGAGAAAGTCCAAAGAGGACAATATCTGCTAGCGGTGGGCCTGGGCCGTTACAGTTTTCTCTGCTCCCTATTGTGGCTGCTGATGTACCTGGTAATTTCAAGGAGGAACACTAAATATCTCCTTTTTGTTGTTTAGGTCATGGCGGAGCACGAGCGGCGGAGTATGTTAAGCACAATCTTTTTAGTAATTTGATCAGGCATCCAAAGTTCATTTCAGATACCAAATCTGCTATAGGTACAATCTTCTTTGATTTGCTAGCCTAACTAAAATTTTCTGTTATCTCTAATCAAATGACTGTTTTTGCGCAGCCGATGCATACAACCACACAGACACGGAATTTCTGAAGTTGGAAAATAATCAAAACAAAGATGCTGGATCAACTGCTTCCACTGCCATCCTAGTTGGTGACCGTTTACTTGTTGCAAATGTTGGTGACTCTAGAGCTGTTATTTCCCGGGGTGGCACTGGTAAGAACGTTCATTCATTTCTGTGTTGTTTGGCGGAGGGTTTCCCGACCCTCTCCTCTTTTTAAAGTTTGGTTGATCGTAGTTTGTAAAGTTATCATTGCCGTTATGTTTTGTGACTTGATGTTTCTTATAATTCATATTTTGGTAGTCCTGTTTGGTTCATGGAATTTCCTCTTTAAGTAACGTGGTCGAATTTTTTATTCTATGAAACGTTGGAACGAATTTGGCATTGGTGATAATTAGCTATAGAAAAGAATTCTTGCATTGCAGTTTTAGTATAGATGCAAAACCAGATCTGATTGCTTCACTAATACTTTTACTTGCGAATTAGAGGCTATCCTTGTTCTTTCTAAGTAATACGGGGAACGGAACATGAACGCGTTTTTAAATTTTGAAGGAGGAAAGCACGGTCTTCTCTCTCCGTGGGAGTGTTTCTAAAAGAATTCTTCTTGCTTATAATATATCATATATTTATAGTTTCTGCCATTTCTGATATAGAACTAGATAGATTCTTTTCCATACATGATTATCATATGACAGTTATTATCTCCATGCGAGTTGAGGACTTGTTGAACTTGAATGATTAAATGCTCACGACTCTTTTCCCTCATTTTCGATTATTTTACCGTATATCTTTTATTTCATATAGCCATTGCTGTCTCTCGAGATCATAAGCCTGACCAAACTGATGAGCGACGACGAATCGAGGATGCAGGAGGATTTGTGATGTGGGCTGGTAAGGTTATCATACCCTCTATCATAACATTTAAAGAACGATGGCCATCACATTTTACTGACTGGATGTAACATGAACAGGAACTTGGAGAGTTGGAGGTGTTCTTGCTGTCTCACGTGCATTTGGGGATAGGTTGTTAAAGCAATATGTTGTTGCTGACCCTGAAATTCAGGTGCATTTTACGTTGTTGACAACCGAAAAACGAATACGCTATTAGGAACCATGTGTCTAAACCGTTAACTTACAGGAGGAAAAGATTGATAGCTCGCTCGAGATTCTTATACTTGCAAGCGATGGACTGTGGGACGTCGTCTCTAACGAGGTTTACAAAGTCCTTTCATTTCATTTACCATCGGTTTACAACTCTCAATTTCAATGTCAAATTGCGAGTTCTATAAACATCCGTAACTCATGATCTGGATGGCCAGTTCATCTTAAACTATAAAGTTTACCAAACGTTCAATACTTTCTTCAGGAAGCTGTAGCTATGACTAAACCAATTCAGGACCCAGAAGAGGCAGCAAAGAGGTTGTTACAAGAAGCATATCAGAGAGGCAGTGCCGATAACATTACTTGTGTCGTCGTCCGTTTCTTGGCGAATCAAGGAAGTTCCTCAGGGTAAGACTGTTTTTCCTAGCTTTTTCGCTCTCCGATCCTGAATCGCAACGTTCGGTGGCTTTTACTCATAGGAAATTCCAATAGCATTGTTGATTGTACTATAAAAAGGATATAGACATAACGAGAAGTTGTCCGGTTTGTTCTTAAGCTTCGAGACTGGTGGTTGTAGAAATGCAAAGTGTTATTGTTTGTGTGGTCGTCAACCCGTCCTAGTAGCATCATCTTTTTTCTTCTGGTCAACGGAGTTTGATCCAATTAGTATTAATTTTTATTTATTAGTTATTTCATAAAATTTTAATTTGGAAAGTGTTAAAATCATTTATATAATTACCAAATTAGTATAAATGTCTATAACTCACTTTTTTTCCTGTATTTGGCAATTTCCGAATATTCCAAATATTCCAAATATTCTATTATTCCTGTCTCTCCACACTAATAAATGCCGTTTCCTTGAAAAGCAAACGCGGCTTCACGTCGCCGCACGCAGTTTTTACCGATGGTTCGGTGCAGTACAGCTCGTTTTCCAACGCCAAATGAAATTCCCAAGTCTAACCTACCTGTTTTAGCTTTTCTTGCCTTCCAAGAATGTCGACATTTGCTGTCATGCCCTCGCTCAAATTTCCATTTGTCAATGCCCCCCTTCTTCATGGGCCCCACCTCCACCTCGTTCCACTTCATTTAGATTACCAAAAACTTTCCTCTCACAATATTAAAAAAAAAAAAAAAAAAAGGAATTCCCATTCAATATCTTAATTTCTTTATTTATTTTTAAATATTTTTCTTATTTTTGATATTAGCCACATTTAAAAAATATTGTGGGTTTTGTAAAATAAAACAAATCTCTATGACCCAATTGTTAAATTATGTTGACCAGAAGTTTCAAGCATTTTTATAACCATTTGATTTGGCGTACTGAATGTCAATTATCGAAACTTTTATTAAATTTTTAGGGGCATCTATTTATTTATTAAATATAATATTATAAAAAATGAAAATCCAATAAGAAAATATTTATAAAAAAAAACCTATTTTCTTTTTGCTCCCAGCAACTGGAGGTGGGAAAATGGACACGGTTCGCTCAGAATATATCTCTTCTCTCTCGTCTGCGTCATTTCATTTCTTAACGCTTTATTCTCCTCTCTCTAGTTTTCCCTCGGACGACATCCAGCAATTAAAATAATAACATTAATAAATGAATCAATAAATAAATCACTATTCGAAGTGACCTTGATTAACTTACAATTAATGAAAAAGAAATACGATTATTCTCATTATTGTCCATTTGTATATGTTTTGTTTAATCAAATTTCTAAAAGCATTTTTCTAGAATTGATTTTATTTATATTGATCAGATTGATGATATTTTTCTTTAATAAACGTTCGGTTCTTACCGAAATTGGTAAAGCGGAAATGTGATTTCAATCTCAATCAAACTGGGAGGAATATCGGATGATAATTTCCATCGTAATTTACAGTTTTTTCTTCAGAAAAAACAGAGCTCGATTAGAACTCTACAAAATTGGTGGCAAAATTTCTCGATCGGAAAACAATTTATTTGAAACTCACTCGTGTTCTTCCTCGCCGGATTCCTGAATGACTGTGGTCGCTTCAGAAGAAACTTCTCGATCATACACTTTGGTCGATTTCTCCGAATTTTCCGCTGTCTTTTTCTCCTCAACGGCGGTTTTCACGGCGGAGGAAATTCGTACGCACACAGGCCTGGCTAAGAACGTCGGTTTCTGGTTTCCGGCCATTATGACCAGAACGTTCTCGTCGTAGTTAGCCTTCTCAGACTGCATCTCCGAGTCGATTTTAGCTTCGTTACTTCCCCCGTTCTCCAAATCGTCGCTGCCTCTGTTCCGTCGGCAGAGGTTCCAGTGAGAACAGGCCAAAAGGACGAGCGAAAAGGTGATCAGGATCATCATCGACGCAAGGCCGCCGAAGAGATACGGAAACGGAGAGTGCCACAGCGATCGCTCTGCAATGTTCGGACTGGTCAACGGCGAAGAGTATTGTGCCGACGGTGAGATTCTCTCCATTGATTTAAGCTTCCTTTTGCTCTGTTACTGAATTCGTTTAATCTCTGTTCTGATTTGATCGGAAGAAACAATAGAAACGGAAATGGAAAAGGAAATTATTAGGTCTGTGAGATGAAAGAGCGTGATGAATGAAGTATTTATAGGAGGAAGAAAGCAAGCTGGATAGGGACAAAGGAACGGAGCGTTTTTTTTCGCCTCATTTCTTTCTCTTATCCTGCGTTAGCTTTTCCTGATGGGTCACGTTTGTCGGTTTGTTTAAGAAGGGAATATTCTCTTTTACTCGCCCGAGTTTTAACTTTTATTAGATCACGAATTTGTCCACTTTTTAGTTTATATGCACTCATGCTAAATAATTTATGGGTCCTAAAGGGTATATTTTTTCACTATCAAAATTAAATTATTAAATACACTAAGTTAAAATACATTAATTTTTTTTAAATTTACAATCAAAATATACATGTTTGCCTCTCTCCAAAACTTTTAATGCTGGCAGTTATTAAAGTTGTGATGAAGCAATTAAGTCAAACCAATTTGCTTTACATCTGTTGGTCTAGCCTAGTTGTTTGAATTTATTTCACTCCAAATAACTAAACGTAGTATTGATGTTATTGTTCTTACCTGTCTTACTCTCCACACAAGAGGTTGAGACTAATAACTACTTTCGCTTTCGACACTCTTCAACCTTTTTTCATCGAGATTTAAAATTTGGTTTAGTATCTAACGCCTCTGTGATCTTTTTGAATTGACCAATTCATTGGATTGTTAAAGCATTGAGTCCTCTAGAGTTAATCCACCGGTTTCAAGAAGACTCATTCAACGAGTCGTTTAGTGTGTATATTTTTCATTGTTAATGTTTTAGGAGATCTAGGTCCTGGTTTAAAAAAATTAACCTTTGAAATATACTTTAATTTACGCCAAATGTAAATTAGTATAAAATTAAAATATACCTAAATTAAATATATTTTTTTTTAATTTTAGAAATTCAAAGCTTATACAAACTACCTATTTTGTCTATTTCGTTGTTGTGCCTCTTTACCTTTTTGAATCAACACTGAAATTTTAGTTAAAAAGGACATGGAATTGACCTTTCAAAACTATGTTTGTTCTTTTGAATTTCAGCTATGATTTTAAAATTTCTAAAATGTCAATTAGTTTGAAAAGTGTGAGAAATAAAAACGGTTAAAGTAAAGGAAAGCTTATCTTCAACATAGTTTAGCATACAAGTTACTCAATATCATCTTTTACACGACTTTCTAATTATTGCAATTATTGCAACTGATGAATTAAAAATAATTAAATTAAAATTTTGAATTTTGAATTTCTGTATTTTTAATTAATAAATCATTGTATTTTTAATTTTAAAAAGTTTCACGACCTATTAAATACAAAATTGAATTTCATGTCTAATAAATTTACTTTTAATTTTGCATAAAATGGATGTATGAACTTTTTTATAAGCTTATTTGATTATTTTTAATATTTATGAACCAAAGAAACAAACCTTACATATTTAGAGACCAACTCTGTGACATTCGGATAAAGGAATGTATATGAATGAACTAATACTGAGGATAAGATGACTATGAAATAGTTAATCCTAGGTGTAATTTTTTTTTTTTCCAGTGGCTTAATCGTAGGAACTCTATAGTTAAAACATGTTTTGTTTTAAGCAATTTTATGTTGAGTGACTTCATTAAAGACATGTGAGTGAGGACAAAACATGTTGAAAGAACTTATGTTAGTTTGTGGTGATAGTTTTCGTTCGCTCTTAGAAGCGAAAAGTAGATACCTTGACCCTATGTCGCAAGAGATACAGGGAAATGTCAAAGCCATTAGCTGTCGAAGCTGTATTATAAATCATAATTAAAATCCTGGCTATACTATCATTATAAATGATATCAAAGCAGTATCTCTCCCAGTAAAATGTGGTTCGGAGATGAATCAACATGGAAGTTGATGAGTATGAGAGCCCGAGTAAATGATGGAGGTATATGAATGAATTGAGATCATATTCATATAAGAGCATGAGAATTGGAAGGACTGAAGGAAGAAGAAGAAGAAGAAAAGAAGAAAAAAAAAAAAAAAAAGTAAATAACGTGACACGTGGAATGAAATGGGAGAGACATTAAATACAGAAGAGTTGCAAATTTTAAATTTTTTTATTATTTTTAATCACGATATGTGAAATGAAAAACCTGCCGCAGCAGTCAACAAAGCAGGTGGTGGCCCCTCATACAAAAATATTCTACAAGCATCTTGGTTTTAGTAGGCCCACTGTCTTGACGCTGGTTGGTGGGCCCTATATGGGCCCACGAGAGTTCATAGTGGGCCCATTTTGTGGACCTATTGAAGACCGCGATTTACGCCTGTTTCCCGCTATTATCTTCGACCTTTCAGTATTCATCGAGTTTAGACGGTGATCTTTATTTTATTATTATTATTATTAATTTTTTAATATGAGAATATAATGCATTTTAAAAACATACATGAAATGGCCTAGTTGTTTAGAGGTATTCCTAAAAGTTTATTTTTTAGTTTATTATTTTCTGATTCTAATTCTACACAGCATTAATAAAGCTGTTATTTTTATAACTCCATATTTGCACAGTAAATAATAAAAAAAACAATCAAATTACAGTAAATTTTGAATATTTTAATTTTAAAATTGTACTCGAATATAAATGCCTATATTTTCATAGCAATAAAAACTTTCAAATGTAAAAATTGGTCCTATTTACTGAAATTAAATTGCTAAGGAGAAGTTTATGAATAAAAATTAAAATTGATTTTTGTAATTCAAAACTTTTAATATTTATTTTTGACTTTTCTACGCTTTTTTTTTTTTTTTTTTTTTTTTAATTTTTAAAAGAAGTCAATACATACCCACAACAAATTTTATAATACTTTTTTAAAGGTTTTTTTAATATAGAAAATTATATATAGTTATGGGTTGTAGTTTTACGGTTATTATAGTAGGGCATAAGCGCCAATTTTCTTTTTAATTAAAAATAGAACCAAATCTAATTGGACAAAAAAGCGAGATCTATAATCGTGGTGCATTTTGGGACACCTAAATTTTATAACGGGATAATAAATTTATTTTATAGAGATGCATAAGAAATATATCCGTTTATGCTTTGGTTCCCTACCTCCACTCTGAAGAGGTCTACACAGCCCTCGTGGGCCCCAAATCAAAATCCATTTTCGGACCTTTATGCAAATAACATATTTTGGACCGCTAATTTTATATTTTGTAATTTCTAAGTCGTGATTAGAAAATATTTCAATTAAATCGTTTAATTTCCTTACAGTTGATATAATGTTGAAAAAAACCATATATTATATATGATTTCGAGTTAGGTCATGCATTTGTTGTTTTATTGATTCGGTAACATAGACTATATATGATTTTTGTAAAGGGAATGAAAAATACTTGATAAGGAATTTTAAATTGCTCGTGGAGATCGAACCACCTAAATTCATTTTATATTATCTTTGGTGGATTGTTCATAAAATATAGTTTGGCCCCTCTCGAGAAATGAAGGTTCAACGAGCACTAGTCATATAGGCGTGGTACAAACGCTCGAATGTCTCTTTCTTATTTAGCAGAGGTTGCTAGTGTTCCTACCATTTTTGTACAATCTAAATTCCTATTTATCTATGCGAGAAAAAAAGGCTTGAATTGGATCGATAACAACACAAGTTCATCAATAGTAAATATTGTCTGTTTTGGCTAATTACATACTGCCATCAGTCTCACCATTTTAAAACACGTATAGGAAAAGGTTTTCACATCCTTATAAGCAATGATTTGTTTCCCTCTTCAACCGAGTCTCACAAAATATTATAAACAAACAAAAGTTATTAAAATGTTCCATTTTATGGGTTGCTCAATGGAAGCAGTGCAACGGTTCTGTACATGACTATAACATGCCACATCACATAACCATAGCATGCCACGTCATTTAATCATCTCCGATTGAAAAATATTGTTGTACAATTTTTAGCTTAATGATAATGAGTATTTAAAATTTTGTTGTATCGAATCTTTTGGAAAACTTTTAATCTAGTGTAAAAGAATTTCTGGCGTTAGGCACGTGGTTAATTATACTAACAAATCAATATTAATCGTAGTAAAAGACAGTTAATCTATGCACTTCTTAGCTCTCACTATCAGAAGAAATATCACAAATGACAAGAATATGAGGAATCAATTGATAGAAATATAAATAAAAAACATGAAAGGATAGATTCGTAATTAAAAAACCTTATATTATAATTTTCCAAAACATCTAATTTTAAAGACAGAGCACTGCATAAAAGGATTACAGCATTTTTTCAGGGGAGAATAATATCCGATCTAATCAACAATGCTTTTTTTTTTTTTTACTATTTAAATCCAAAACTTTATTTATAATTAAAATTTAATTTATATTTGGTTAAAGTGTTAAAGAGTGATATGTTTAGTGATTGAGTAGTAAATTTTGAAATTAATTTAACATTATTAAAATTTTATTTTAGTTATAAAGTGTTATAATTCTACCCATAAATTACAAATTATTGATATTTATAAAATTATAAACCGTAACTTGTACGGCCCGGGCATTTCGTCTTTTATGTACAGCCTGGCGCTACTATAAAAGCAGGCTAGGACGGAGAAAAGGAACGAGATCCGCGTCGGACTTTCGCGCTATTTTCTGTTCCTGAGAGTTACAATATGGAAATCAACTGCCTTAATCTACACTCTCATTTACAATTTTTCTTCGTCGTGATTTTGTATAAACGGATCACAGACACGGCGTGCGGACCTTCGATTCTAGGTATTTTTCTTCATTCAGAATCGTTTATTTTCATCCATTTACGTTCAGCGACAGATTAATCGCTGTTCATATTCCTTTTAGTTTTCTGTTAGTTTTCTACATCTCGTTTATAAAATCGTAGAGTATATCTGTTTCTCGTCTATAGATTAGTCGCAGTTCATATTCTTTTGTGTTTTTCTAGCAGTTTTCTGCACTTCATGTACAAAATCGTTGAAATATGTATTTGCATTCGTCATCTTCCAAGAGATGATTGTAAAATGTTGAATGTTCATCTAATTTCATGTCGATTTTTTGTGTTTTGCGTCCGTGTTTGGATTTTTTCAGGACGAGGCTCGTAGCTCTTGTTCCGCAAGAGGTTTCTCCGTAGAAATTGCAATGGCTACACACTTGGCGTGTTCAAATCTCTATATGCTGTTTGATACGATAAAACGCGGTCTGGAGCTCTCGCAATCTGCTAATATATTACGCATCATCCGTTGTAATGGTAAGTCGGCTTATATGTTAAAATCGGCTGGAAGAAGACAATAATCATCTAATCCAATTTTGTTTATTAATTATATATTTGGAGGTCTATAGTGCAAGATCTCGATCAGATTATTGTTCGCATGGACTGTTGCTGATTTTAGACGATGACTATTTCATCTTTGGCGCTGGTTTTGGCGATAAACGAGTCATGCTTACGGCTAAGATTACCGTTTAAGCTATACAATGCATGCGGAGGTGGTTTGTCTCTGCAATTTGAAGGTCTTTTCTCTTTTCATTGATAGGATAACCTTTCTGTTGCTATGAAATAAAACTGCACTCAAAGATTTAGTCTAATCAAATCATAAGAAATTCTTTGTAATTTTCACGCTTCATATTTTTTGCTCTCAAGAGTTAGCTTTGTTGAGGAACTTATTCATTTCATGAGTTTTCAAGCTAAACCAAAATTCTTTATCACTGCCTTGGTTTGTCTTACTTGAGCGCCATATATCTTCAGGAAGTAAGGACGATTTATACTAGTGCTATCTCCCTTCGACTGAATTTCAATGTTAAGACCATTATTCATAACTGCGCAGCTTTTTGTTTGGCTCACAGTATAATCTTCCTGCCTAAAACTGATTTAAAAAAATGTGTCCATGGAAAGTAAAGGTTATCAGCTGGTACATCTTGAGCTGAATGTATCCATTTTCCAGAGATGAATTGAATTTGAGGTGTAGTTTTTTCGTCAAAGAAATTTGTGGAGCAGTTTGTGGGCTTGTTTTTATTCCCTCTGTTCTATTGTCTTGAAAATACTGTAGTTTGGCTGCATAATTTTTTGCTAGATTTCTTCTGTGTTCTGTCTTGCCATTTTGGTGGAAAAATGTTGCTACATAGCTCAAGACAGTTCTATGTTTATCAGCTGTTTTCTGTTTCTATAGGTTAACGAAGCATGTAAATTGGCCCTTTTTAACATCTAGTTACTGCATATCCAATGTGACATGTTTGTTCATTTCGTTGTCATCCCCACATTTAGGGCATATTATCCACTCAGATGTGTTTCTACTTCTGCATTTCATTTGGTTTTAAATTACTTGGCACTATGACTACTGTAATTAATCGTGTGAAATGTATCTTCGCTGTAGTTCTCCTAAATTTATTATTTATCTAATTCGAACGATATCTGATTGTTAATTGACAATGCAAGGATGCTGGGAGTCTAATAATCAACTCGTCCAAACGGATGTTGAAGCTTTGGACCTACAGGTTTTTTCACTCTCCTTCTGATATTATGTTTTACCGTCTTTATTGATCTCGCTATTACAGTTTGCTCTTTCTATGCTTGGACATCCTCTAGGGAAGATAGGTGAATATGCTATTTGATTAGGTTCCAAGGGTGGTAATCTTACCCTAGGGGGTAAAAGATTTTAGTGCTTAGAATGGATAAAGGGATATTAAGGGTTGATATTTTCGTTCTTTCTTTCTTCCTTCAATTTGAAACACATGCATTTGATAAAGTTGATTTTTCCTTTTTTTTTTCCTCTTTTCTTTTCGTCTTGTAAGCAAATTTCGTGCCAATTTTTCAAAGCATTTTCTTTCAAACCAACTCAATTGTTTGATAATGAACCAAACAGTGAAACATTTGACTTGGGTTAGTTAGGAGGATTTGTGTAATTTATTACTTTTAGAGAGTGAAATATTATATCTAAAATATTTATTTATTTTCAAATGTAAAAATAAGATTGGTAATTCCATTTCTACATTTTAAAAACTATATATATAAGAACAAATAATTAAAAAATGTATGAATTTCTTAAGAGATTTATTTGAACTAAACTCAATCCAAACCATATGAGTTGGGTTGAGTTAATTGATTCTTTTTTTTGGTTAATTGAATTTCTTTGACCATTTTGGAAAATAAATTTAATTTATTATATTTTACTTGTTACAAATCCTTTTATTTTACTACTTTGTTTTAAAAAAAAACATTTCTCAAAAAGTAAAATTTTGTTTTTAATTTTAGAGAATAAAATTTAAGATAAGGCATTCTTCTTTCATTGAAAAAAATAGTAAAGAATAAAAAATGATGGTCCTAGTTCTAAATTTTGTTTTTAATTTTAGAGAACAAAATTAAAGACATGACATTCTTTTTTCATTGAAAAAAATAGTAAAGAATAAAAAATGAGGTCAGAGTTCTTTTTTCTTTTTGCTTTTGAAGCATAAAAAAATTAAGACGATACATCATTCGAGGCCATTTTATGTTATATGAGGTGTGTTTGTTTTATTGAAAGATATAGTACTATCTCTTGGTCCATTCCTCCTGGAACATTTAGAACGGAATAGAATTTAGGCTAAACAAAAAGCTTCTGAAAGTTATTTATTAAAATATATCTCATGTTTTTCCAAATATTTCAGGACTTTTTTGAGTCACTATCACACCTGTTTTAAGTTGTAATATTTTGAATTCTCTAGATATTCTTTATGGAGCCAAATAAATAGAGTTTTAAGTTTTAACATGATTGAGTTGAGATGTTAGACTCTCAAGGTAGCTCGATCACCCACCAATTAGTAGGAAACATAAAGAAGAAGATTAGTGTCCATGTTGACTGAAGTGAAGATTTAGCTAATTCTCACGAAAGCAAAATGTGATAACTTTATTACAGATTTTCTCTGGAAATTAACCACAGCTTTTACTGTACAATTTACAAATTGGGCAGGTGGTAAGGGTAAGAGGATATGTTACAATGATTACATTACTTGACCCCAAAAAAAAAAAAAAAGAAAGAAAAGAGGTAAAGGGAAGATTACAAAACTTTCCTACTGAACTGTTTCTACCATTACCTTTCTCAAAACAAACCATACATTTACAAGGGAGGTTGTGGTAAATACCGTTCCAGACATTCTTTCAACTTCTGGAAGGAGATTGGCTTTGATACGAACGAGTCCATACCATTTTCATAACACTCATCAGCGCTTTCTGACATTGAATTTGCCGTCATCTGCAGGTACAACACCCCACTCATTTCATTACTTACACTACTAGTAAATTATTTTCTTGCACAGAGACCAATCCTAAATTAATGATGATTTCAATTGTTAAGGGTCTTTAATATTTCTTTATATGAAAATTATGTTTATTTGGTAACCCTTTTTCTTAATACTAATTTTCTAAACTATAGTTAGCTTTTAAACATCAGGTAAAGTAAAATTTTAAAACTTGTTTCTTTGTTTTTGAAGGTTTTGTTAAGATTTTAAAGGTGTTTCCAGAAAGTGGTAAAACTAAAGAAAATGTAAATTTCTCTAAGCTTTTATTATTAAACAGGGTATTGATTTTGAAAAATTTTATATGATATTTTTAAAACTATATATTATGATTATATTCATGATAAAAATAATAAATTAACTGGTCTTTCTACGTGAAAAAAAAAGAATGTTTAATACATTTTTGAAACTTCAAAGCTGGTGCGTATTTAACTTGAAAAGAAAAGTGCATGGTAAGTTTTATTTACATATTTCATACATTTTTAAAAAATTTCAACATTAAATTGAAAGTTTAAAATTTTATCATATCAATTAACTTTTAAATTAATTGAATATATTAAGGGCTTATTAAACACAGTTCAAGGACGTTTAAAACAGTAGTTTAAAAGTTCATAAACTAATCTGGTAGTTTAATCTATATTTTACCTAGTATCACTTATATGACATGGTGCATACGCATAATAGTATAGATATATACTTTCTTTTAATGTTTTATTTTGATTTATTAATGTTTTAGTACGCTGTTCGCATAAATGATTAATGATTAAGGCTGTTGATTAAAAGAAAAAAGGAAAGGGAAAAAGTAGATAAAGTACTCACAGCAACGATGGGTATCCTGCTGGAGGAGGGAGTCCAATAAGGCGTAGTTGGCTGGATTCCAGCATTTACAGCTGCCTCCCAGCTGCCTGTTTCCTCAAAAGAACGAATTAACCTTGTAGCTTGAAGGCCATCCATAACAGGCATGAATACATCCTGCACGAATCGACCAAAATTTCCTCATACAATTCCCACTCAAGCCTTCCAGATATTTGGTGCTAATCTACATGTCAATTCCATCAATAATTCTAGTACCTTCTGGTGTTTTTATTAAGTTAATAAGTAATCCTCATATACCACAATGATGCAAGCAAGCAGAGTAAATTACTGAAATAACGAATTAAAAACATGACATGTTTTGAGCACCAAATTTACGAAATATAACAAAACTTAATTAAGTAAAACTGAATATATTTTAAAAAAACCTGAAGATTAGATGTTTAAAAATCTGAAGTATTGCCATTGGGTATAAATCCGGATGAGAGTGCTAACAGTATGTTTCTAGCAGGAGTCGAGAATCTTCCGAATAAAAATAATCAAAATGCATGCCTTAACAAACAAAATAAAAATGTTATGCAAAATCTTGAAAATATAGTGAATTCGACAAATAGAAAAATAAAATAGTAAAAATGATATAATATTTACGGTTAATAAATTATAAAATTTACAAAAAGAAAAAAATACAAAGGCAACTCAAAGATGTTATTTTTAAAAATTATATAAGTGATGATATATATTAAATATAATTTTGTTAAATCAAAATGCATGCCTTAACAAATGAAAATATAGTTAATTGCACAAAAAAAAAAAAAAAAAAAAAAAAAAAAAAAAAAAAAAAAAAAAAAAAAAAAAAAAAAAAAAAAAAAAAAAAAAAAAAAAAAAAAA